ACACTTTCTGTTTTTCTTTCCTTTTTTTTTTTTTAAGTGGGGGGAGGGGTGGGGAGGGGTGGATGGAGAGGATTGGATGGAGAGAGAGAGAATCTTAAACAGGCTCCATGCCCAGCGCGAAGGCTGACACAGGGCTCCATCTCACCACTCTGAGATTATGACCTGAGCTGAAATCAAGAGTCAGAGGCTCAACTGACTGAGCCACCCAGGAGCCCCCTTTCTGTTTTTCTTAATATTTTCATAAGCTCAAACTCTGGCTTTGGCCTTCCCCACATTATTCTTCTAGGGTCCCTGTCATTATTTCCTGGTTATTGTTCACAGGGGCAAATGGGTGGTGATCAGGAGCAAGGGAGGAGTCCTGATCTGTCTCTTACCAGCCATGCAACCTCGTACAAGTTACTTACCACCTGAGGCTCAATTTGTTGTCTTTAAAATAGGATGTTGGTTCTAGTTCTCTCATTACGTGACATAATTCTTAGCATGGTGTCTAGCACAGCAGTGTTAGGGATGGTTATTTGTGCCCCTCATCTATTCTCCTACATGTCCTTCTTCAATCTGAGGTCACTGGGGACCCCCTGACCAGTCACCAGATGCTCTCTCAGTATCAGGCACTATGCAGGGGTCAGGGATGCAGTATGAAGTGCCATTATCCTGACCTCAAGGCACTGACAACTTAAACAATTAATAATAAAAAGTAGGTTAATAATCACAAAAGTGTAGGAGGAGATTGTTTAACCAGGAGAACTGAAACCGTGGTCATGTGGTCTCTTCACATGAAGCCTGGCTCTACCATGTGCCAGCTTGTAGTGCTAGATGGACGTAATATGACCAGCCCTGGGCTCTAAAGTGATTTATATAAATGATTTCATTTGGTCTTCGTGAAAAGCCTATTTGCTGTTACTAGAGCATCTCACAGATTTTTCCCCACGAATGGATGGACTAGGGACACTAAACCAGCCCTAGGAGCACAATGACTTGTATATGGACATGTCTGGGTATTTCAAGCCACCCAGCTGCATTCAGAGTGTGTGGATGCACAGCTGCTATCTGAGGACAGCTGTTTTCCTTCGGAAAGATGGCTTGGATGTGAAGGAGCAGTCAAGCGAACGAGGGAGGCAAAGGCCAAGACGCGGTCAAGGGGTGAACAACACTGTGAGCCTCGATAGGCGGTTCCACAAGACTGTGTCAAGCCTCAGATGCCCGCTGGTGTTTGGTGGGACCCTGGGGTGTTCTGACCTTTCAGCTTGTTCTGCCTGGTGGGAACGCTGTCCCAGACTCAGAAGAACTGCCATGTACCCAGGGAGTCTTGATACACCGCTACCCTCTGTGGTCTCCTAACACCACTTCTCTGGTGTGACAGCACCCGGCCCACTGAGCTGATGGGGTCCCCAAACCCAGAACTGTCTGGGTGTGAATTTGCTGCCTCTGGTGCCCTGGCCAGAGTGAGGTGCTCTACTTCAGTTCCTGGTTGTGCTCCTCACTGGCTTGGTGGCCTCCTACAAATCACCCAACTCATCTGGGCATCAACTTCCTCCTTTGCAGAACGAACACACTAAGATGCCTCAAAAGTGATTCCCACTTGACATTCCCACCAGCAGGCACAAAGATTCCTATTTCCTCACATCCTCACCGACACATGTTATTTCCCACTTTTCTGATAGCCGCCATCCCAGGGGGTGGAAAGTGGTAACTCACTGTGGTTTTGATTTACGATTTCCCAATGATGAGTGATGTTGAGCATTTTTCATGTGCTTATTGACCATCTGTGTATCTTCTCTGTAAAAAAGTCCATCCAAGTCCTTTGCCCATTTAAAAATTGGGTTGTTTGATTTATTTGTGGTATTGTTGAATTGTAGGAGTTCCACATATACTCCGGATATTTATCCCTTATCAGATACATGATTTGCAACTATTTCCCCCTATTCTGTGGGTGGGTTTTTCCCCCTCTCAGAATATGTTGGCTTTTTAGTGCATGAAAAGTTTTAGTTTTGATGAAGTCCCTTTTATCTCTTTTTTCTTTCGTTGCCTGTGTTTTGATACTTAAGAAACCACTGCTAAACCCAAGGTTATAAAAATTTTCCACTACATTTTCCTCTAACAGCCAATTTATTCTAATCGAATTGTACACTTGTAAGTGGTGAAAGTGGGCTATTACCAAATAACAAGTGTTGGCAAAGATGTGGTGAAATGGGATAACACGTGTCAGGGAAAATATGGAGAAACTGAAACCCTCGTGCACCTGCTGGTGGATCATAAAATGGTGCAGCCACCATGGAAAGCAGGATGGAGGTTCTTTAAAAAATTAAAAACAGGACTACCATATGATCCAGCCATTGAAAACAGAGTCTCGAAGAGATATCTGCACACCCAGTTTGACAACAGCATTATTCACAATAGTCAAGACGTGAAAGCAACCTGAATGTCCACCGACAGATGAAGGGACAAGCAAAATCTGTTATATATGTACAACAGAATATTATTCAGTCTTCGAAAGGAAGGCCATTCTGACACAGGCTACAGCATGGATGAACCTTGAGGACATCATGTTAAGTGGAATCAGTCAGTCACAGAAAGACAAATGCAGTATGAATCTCCTTGTATGAGGAATATAAAGTAGCCACATTCATGGAAACCGAAGTAGAAAGTTTACCGTATCAGGGTCTAGAGGGAGGGAGGGTTGGGGAAAAGGGGACTTGTTGTTTGATGGGTATAGAGTTTCAGATTTGCGAGATAAAAAAGTTCTGGAGATTTGTTTCACAACACTGTGAATGTACTTAACACGACTGAAGTGCACAGTTAACAGTGGTCAAAATGGTAAATTTTATGTTGTGTATATTTTACCGCAGTAAAAAAGTTTATCCCCTCCACCTCATAAATAGAGGGTTTATTGAATGATAGGTTTTTAAATATGGAAACAAGACTATTCTGTAAGCTACAGACCATACTGGAACTCTGAGGTGAAGAACTCCTGACAGGTGAATTTGACTTTGTCCACCGTTCTACTACAGAATCCTTTACCAAGCTGAGCCTAAATATATGCTCCTCCTGTGGTTTCAACCTCTGGTCCTACTTCTACCTCTTAAGTCTACAGGACAAGTCTAATCCCTTGCTGGGTGGTTGGTGGCAATAGCCATGACTGACTGTGTGTCTCTCTTGGCCAGCACAGGACACACATTCGGATGTAGGCAGTGTTCCTCAGCAAGAGACAGAGAAAACAGGGCTCAGGGAGACAAGGGACCTGTTCCACCACCTGAGTAATGGAGGTGGGATTTGAACCCAGGTGTCCCTAACTCCAAAGCCCATGATTGTCATGCTAGACCAGACTGCCTCTGGGCCAGGTTCCTCCTCAGCCATCTTTTCTACGAACCCTTGGTCTTGGTCTTTTCTTCCGTGGCTTTGTTCTGCGTGCCTCGCCCATCCCCCCAGCCCGTTCCTTCTCTTGTAGCAAACACTGGGGAAGTTCCCACCAAGTCTGGGCAAGCCCTCGCTCTCACTACAGACGCTGCCCACCTTTCCTGTAATGCCCAACTGGACCCCGCACCCTGCAGAGGGAGAGGGCCATTGGTGGAAATCCATTCCAAGGCCCCCGAAACCCTCTTCCCCACCACCTCCTCCCCTTGCTAAAAGCAGAAACCAGCCCCGTTCTTTCCTGCAGTATTTCCTCCTGGGAGTTCCTGCAAGGGAAGATGTTGCCATCCCAGGATTAACAGCCTGTTTGTTTAAAGGGCTTACTACTGGTGCTTAATGCTATTTTGACAGATGAAAGTGAGTCAATTATAGCTGGAAATAGCTCTGACTGCATACATTTCTTCTAGGTAGTAGTCCATTCCCTGTCCGAGGGACTATTTCTCTTTACCATGGGCTAGTCCTTCTTCTCTCGTCCCCTCTGACCCCCAAACCATGCAAAGACTTTGCTCCTTCCAGGCAGAGACAACAATTAAGGCATGGAGCCTAGATTCTGTGAGATGGGGGTTGCCATGACAGACAGCAGGGATGAAGGGGATGCTCAGGGCAGGCCTCACAGGTCAAACTCCAGGATAAGGGATGTGGCCCAGTGAGCCCTGTGTCCATCAGGTGTTACTCTGCTCCATCAGCCACAAGTGTGGCCACTTCTTACTGAATGTCTTGCTCGGCTTTTCTTGGGGGTAATGGGTTTCTGTGCTGGCAACCCACCCTAATGAGACCAGGGCTGGTCACAGGCTCGGGGGATTCGGGGGTTACCTTTGTGAGGACAGCCAGACCCCTTTGTGGGTTGGTCAGAGAGCTTCCCAGGGTCACACTGAGTTATGCTCGGGCCCCAGTAAAGAGCCTTTCAATGTCAGCGGGGGTCCGTGTAGTGCGCTAGGACGCAGGCTGGTGAACTGCCATGTGGTTGGATGAGCAAAATGGATGCAAGGCCTGATCCCAAGCTGCAAGGTCAGGAGTGTGGAGAGGTGTATTTGTAACAGGCGTCTCAAACTTAATATGCCCAAACGTAATAGCCCCAAACATGCACACCCAAATGCTCAAGCTCTAATCCTAACAGCCATCCTGGATGTTTCTCTCTCTCGCCCTCCTTGAGGTCCTTAAATAGAACCAATCAGCGAATCCTGAGGCCTCTACTCCAAAGTTTCCAGCTGATCTGTGCCACCTGATGCCTGTCTGCTACGATTACCCCAGTCTAAGCCACAATCAGTCCTGACGCAGACTATTGCAAGAGCTTCCAGCACATTTCCCTCCTTCCATCCTTGCCCCTCATGGTTTATTCCCCCCGAGCCACAGTGGGAGGACTGTTCTCAACACAGCTCTCTGGGCGGGCACTACGGATTGGACAAAACTGGCATGCCGGAGGAAACCCACTTGCCAGCCCCCCTCCTTTCTCCAGGAAGGGAAGTGCAGAAAGGCCTGGGGGCTTGCTGAGTGGTAAACTGGGCTGCAGGTGCATCCGGGAGAGGAATATTGCCCACCAAGCCCCTCCCAGACTCCCTGACTGCCCCCTGCCCCGTGGAGAGGCCGCTCACCCGCGGACGGCGTGCAGCAGGCGCAGAGAGGGGTATGCAGTACGCACGTTGACGCGATGCTTCAGGATGAGCTCGTTGACCCACTCAACGCGCTCCTTGCCGCCCCTGGCCATGAAGGCTGGAATCCACAGGATGCTGCCATTGAGATTGTGCAGCCGCTGGAGCAGCTTCTCCCGCCAGGTGGCGTTGACCAAGTCCTCAAAGGCCCGTTGGATGACCGAGGGGTTCATGGTCACCAGGTCAGTCTTGAGCCCCACATCCCGCGCGTACTCCTGCACTGGGGCCAGGTTGCACCTGCCAGAGAGAAAGGCGTCACAGTTCTTTTGGGGAAGATGAGATGCTGCTGCCTGTAGTTCATTTTATCCAACCTTTACCTCCTGTCCCCTCCTCCTCACCTTCCAGCACTGCCCCCCTTGCTCCCCGCTCCAGTCATCCCTGCTTCTTCTTCCCTGACACACACATTTACTAGGCTCTTACCACACACATGGAACTTCGCTAGTCCCTGGGGCTGTACAATGCGTGCCTTCTGGAGTTCCAGATCTAGTCAAGAAGGAAGGAGGCAAGCAAGCCAGCCCTCAGCCCACAAGGCGACCATGCTACAGGCAGGTGTGACCTGGCCACGTTAGGTAACAGTGAGGGCTCTGAAGGCACACTCCCAGGTTCAGAATCCACCTCTGCTACTTTCTACCTGTGTGATTCTGGGCAACCCGCTCAACCTCTCTGTGCTTCCTAAGAGCTTCCCTACAGCTCAGGAATATGCACAATGGTTTCTTTAGCTGCAACGGGGATCACAAGAGCACCCCCTCCCAGGGATTAAAGGAGTCACTACGTACCCAGTACTCAGAACACTGCTGGACCACACGAAGATCTCAATGTGAACTAGTGTCATGTTATTATGGGAAGGAGGAGCATTAGGTGGTATTCTCAGAGGCGGTGACCACTGAGGGAAATCTAGAAGGATGGATGAGCATTAGTCCCTTTGAGGATGAGGCAATTAGAAGAGTGTTTCTCCAGCTTGCAGAGTGGAAGAATCACCTCAGGCGGTAGTTAAAAATACTGAGTCCTGAGGTCTCTCACCTGGGTACCCAGATTCAACAGGTGAGCTGAGGAACTGACACTTTTACAAGCCCGTCAGGTAATTCTTATGACCAGGCAGTTTAGGAAACACTGTGCATTGTAGGCACAAGAAATGTATCTAAGGGCATAGAGGTGGCAAACAGTGTGGGTATCTGGGGGCGGGGCAAGTGATTTGCTCTGCCTGGGGCATAGTGTGTGGAGGAGACAAAGCTGGAGAAGCAAGCAGAGACTGCATGTCACAGATGTGGTTCCAAGGGCAAAAGGGAGCCACGGAAGATTCTTGAACAGGAGAGTAACATGATAAATTTGCATTTTAGGCAACAGATAGACAACAATAAGATGAAGTTGTAGTACGTATTGGGTTGGATGGAATTGGGTCTGGGAGGACAAACTATAAAAGGCCATTGCAATTTCGTGCTGAACTCGACAGGGACCCTGGGTGGGCAACCTTTGATATCTCACCAGAGGCCTGCTTTGTGGGGAACCTTCCCACCTTCATGGGTCCAGCTTGGGTGTGCACCCTGGGGTGGCCACAGGGGACACCTGGCTGCTTCCTGCATGGAGGATTTGATGGTGGAAGAGCCTTTTGACTAATGGAATTAAGTCTGAGCAACTAGAATAAGTGTTTATAGAACAGAGGCTAGAGACATGAAGACCAGGGGCACAGGTCATTGCCAAATGATGAAATCCAGAGAGACACCACTCACCCTCTTTGCAAGCCAGGACTTTCTTCCTTTAACATTTGGGGAGAAAAAGTAGCATGATCAGAAAGAAAACTAACATCCTTGCGCTCCTGGTGTGTGCCAGCCCCTGGTCCTTTAACATAGGTCGGCTCATTTTATTCAGACTCAGTATTAATCACCCTCACTTTACAGATGAGGAAACCAAGGCCAGAATTTGCAACATAACTTGCTCAGAGGCCCAGAGCTAGTAAGAGAACCTCCAGGATTCAGTCTCTGATGTGTCTGACTCAAAAGCCTGTTTGTGCTCAGACTAGACCTCCTAAAATATCCACTGTCCCCATCCCCACCCTGACCTTGCTATCTCTGACTGTGGCTACACTCTACAAGGGGGAGGAAATGCTTTGGGACACCTTCAGGGGCCCCTGCCTCAGATGCCAGAGAAATGGAGTATCATTATCATGGCCACCAGTTTGGGACAATTATCCCTACAGTCCTGAAGCCTGGCTAAACCAGGCTTCCAAGACCTTCCTGAGAGCCTGGGGCCTCCCCCGGGGCCAACCTCCAGGTCCTGAGAGCAGAGGGGAGTGGATTCAATGTGATTCAGATCTACTGAGTCTATCATGGACCAGTGGGGGCTGCAGGAGAGGCAGAGAAGGAAGTGATGTGGAGCCTGCCCCCAGTAGGCTTCCAGGTTCTCCAGGGGAGAAGAAACGGGCAAGTGCATGCCCAGCTACAATACTGGTCAGTCGGGGTGTCGTCCAAGTGCCCTACTGCAGACTCTGGAGGAGCCCTGGGGCTGCGAGCAACCTGAGGCAGGCTCCCCACCTCATTCAACATGGGATCCAGCTCATGGCAGGTGTTCCAGGCAGGAGAGGGCTGTGAGGGCCAGGCTAGTCCCATGATCATGTCTCAGGGTCACTTCCTGAGTGAAGATGATGGGGGCAGCTCTGTCCTGCTGTGCCCCTCCCTCACAGGGCAATTTTCCTTATGGGGGTGGTGGTAGGGGGGAATCAGGTTGGGAGTAAGCTTGATCTAACAGCAAGCCAGGCCTCCCAGAGCAAATTCTGGGTGGGGGGTCTGTAGGTAGGCTGCACTGCTTTGATAGGCATGACTTTGGGCTGGAAAGGAATCTGTCCCTTCCAGAAACAGGCAGGGCCACAGGTACGGGGTAGGGGCAATCTGCCGGGGAGAGAGGCGGCTCATGTTTGACTCTGAGCCAGACTGCCTAGACCCACAGCCTGAGCCTGGTCACCCGAGTGCATGCTGTGGACCTGTGGCTCTCTGCATCTCAGAAGCCAGCCCAAAATGGAACATTCCTGATAGGGTTGTTGCAAGAATTACCTAAGGCAATAAACACGAAGTGCATCGAATTATACCTGGTACATGCTAAGTGCCTAATGAGCATGATGAGGGTGGTGATTGGTCTGTGAAGGGGCATTGGTTCATTAGGTCCTCCCTATTGAAGGTGGGTGTGCACGTGTGTATGTGTTTGTGTGAGTGAGTGTGTGAGGGTGAGCACACAATGAAGTTTTCATCCGCAAACATCTGGGAATTTATTCTGTACATAGATGACCCCGAGTCAGGCAGTCTCCTCAACCTGCCATTGCAGGCCCACGTGGATGCTGCGGGGACCAGCCCTCCCATCCCGCCCCAGTTCCCAGCAGCACCATATGTTGGCAGTGGGCTCAGTCAAGCCCCAGCCTCCACGATCATGAATCTAGTTATTCTCACTTCCATGCCTTTCCTCATGCTCCTTCCTCCTGCTCACCTTTTTCATTTGCCAACGTCGGCCAACTCGAATGCCACTTCTTCCAGAAGGCTGCCCTGAACTCCCCCAGGAAGGCTGAGCGTTTTGCAAGCTCATTGCATTTTGCATGCAGGGCATCTTCCCACTGTTCAGGGTAGAGTGTTCTGAGAGGGGGCAAGGTCTTGGTGTCTCCCACACAGAGGAGGGGCCCAATTAACACAGAGCAAGGCAAAGTGATGAAGACTTCAATTGACAGAGACCGAGAACATCCCATCAGGACCCTCCTGGTGTCTGTTATCCCATAGAGCTCAGAGCCCCTCATCTGTGCCAGGCACAGGCTTGGACTGGCGTCCAGAGATGGACAGGAGCGGCCTGCTTTGGGGGAGCTCATGGTCAGCGTGAGGTGGGTGGGGTGGAGACACAGGGTTCATGGAGAGCTCTCATTCAGACAGGCAAATGCTACAGGGGAGGTGATGTGGAATCGTGGGGTGACCTCCCTGCACCCCAGGGAAAGGCAGGGCAGGGAATGACACTTAGTGTGCTCTATTGTGGGAGACACCGGCCAGGCACACTCACACATGCCGACTCAGGCAGTGGCCACAGCATCGCACCCCATTTCCTCTCGGTGGGGGCTGTGGCCTGTAGGATCCCCCGGGCTGAGGTGGGTGATCCCCCCAAGGTGGGAAGAGCCCAGAGGAGTGGCCCCTGGTGGGGTGGGGGGGGTGGCCAGGGCTGCCACTCGGCATCACGAGGCGTCTGTCACAGTGCGCCTTTGTAATTTTGTCCTAAAAGATCACTCAAGTCCACCCCCCAAAACATGCAGCTGTGTGCGAGCCACACACAGAGACAGACCTAAAGGTCAGAGGACAACCACGTGTTGTTCTGGGGAGCTCTCTCCTTGGCGTCAGGGCCCTCTTTACTAAGCACCCGTGGACAGGTGTGGACACGACCCCCGGGGGAAGGAAAGCATGCTGTGGCCGTGCTTCTCCAAGTGCAGGCCGCACCACAGCTGGCCGGACATTAGGAATGCAGAGTCTCCAGCCCCACCCCTGATGACTCCACCCTTGAATGCGCTCCCGCTGACTCCTGGGCTGGTCAGGGTTTGCGGGCCCTGGGCCAGAGCACAGACAGTATTCCTAACGGAAGGACCTCAAACACGGCTAGTCCAGCCCACTCGGTCTACAGGTGGTTAAACTGAGGTCCAGAAAGGGGAGTGACACACTCCCAAGTCATGTGACAAATGAGCAGCTGAGCCAAGACCGGACTCTCACACCATACTGCTCATCTCGCTGTCAGTGCCCCCAGAGGGAAACCACTGGCTGGAATGTGTCCTTGCCTCTGGAAAGTGCTAGGGCAGGGCGGGGTGGAGCATGCAAACAAGGAAGAGGCATGGCTTAATGTGACACCAAGCCAGGAAGGCCTCCGGCTCCATGCTGCCTGGCACCCCCTACTCTTACCCTCTGCTGGCACCTTTAACACCCCCACCACCGCACCCTCACCCCTGCTCTGGCTTCCATCAGACACCTGCCCTGCTTCCTTCCCCCTTGCATCCCCCCTCTGTCCCTGAGTCTGTAGACTGGAGGGCTTTGACAATGGGGGCTGAGCCACGGGCTACGCCAGGCACAGGCAGAATCTGGCAAAGGCTAACAAGCTAAACCAAGTTCGGCTGCTTCCGTCACAGTGGATGCGGGAGTAAACACAGCGTCTGGGGCGCCTGGGTGGCTCAGTCGTTAAGCATCTGCCTTCGGTTCAGGTCATGATCCCAGGGTCCTGGGATCGAGCCCCGCATCGGGCTCCCTGCTGCGCGGGAAGCCTGCTTCTCCCTCTCCCACTCCTCCTGCTTGTGTTCCCTCTCTCGCTGTGTCTCTCTCTGTCAAATAAATAAAATCTTAAAAAAAAAAAAAAAAAGAGTAAACACAGCGTCTAATCCCACGTCCTGAGGTTCAGGGTGCTCTGTGAGCAGGCCGCTTCCCAAAGCCTCAGGACGAGGCTCTCTTTGCATCAGAACAGCCCCGGAGGAAACGTGAGATGTGGTATGCCCTTCTGCCAGGGCTGGGGCACTGTTTGGGATGAAACTCGAGGCTCTGTGTGCCCTACTTCTGACCAGGGGACAGCAAGGCCTTGTTCCCAGTCTGTCTGGATTGGGGGTCAGGTATCAGGGCCATTGGTAACTGAGTCCAAATGGGTCCCAGGAGACTGAACAAAGAGCTGATATTTCAGGGAGAATGATGGTCAAGTCCAAGTTTCTCTGCCACCCCCTCACTGCCCAGATTTTGACTACAGGATAATAGTTACTAGCAGAGAGCCACCTTCGAGAACACTTATAAGAGGTTTGCAAACTTGAACTGACAACTGGCTGGCCTAGGCTTTATCTAGGGGTTGGCAAGCTTTTTCCGTAAAGGGCTAGATACCATTTTCAGATTCTGGCATATGCTCTCTCTCTTGCAACACTTCAACTCTGCCCTACTAATTTAGCCATTGAGGATATGAAAATGAATGGGCATGACTATGTTCCAATAAAACTTTATTGATAAAAACAGGCTGTGGGCCATTGTCTGCCTACCTCTGTGCCAGGTTAGGGATTCTCAACCTTGGCTGTACACCAGAAGGGTTTGGGTTCCCTGGGCTACATCCTGCTGACCCCTCAGATTGACATAACTGGCCTGGGGTGCAGTCTGGACACTGGGACTTTTACAGGCACCTCAAGAAATTCTAATGCACAAAGCTGAGAACAGGGACTAACCTAAGCAGTGTCTCTTGTTTCAACCTCTCGGGACAACTGGCCATGCTCCACTTAAGTCTACCTGTCCCTTTGGGCCCAGAGTCCCTGCTATGATTACCTTATGACAAAGCTGTGCGTGTCAATCTCCGGCCCACAGCCGCTGTTCAGCAAGACCCCCGAGTTGCCCACGATGGCACAAGTCCCGAAGTGCTTGTTCTTCAGGGGAGAGCTTCTGGGGAGGAGATCGTAGAGGTTCTGGGACACGTTCATTGTGCTGTCACGGTCGAAGATGTAATGAATGATGTCTCCGGGCTTCAGGGTCCCCTTGAGGACAGAGATGTCTTTTTCGGCATCCAAGAACTTCAAGATTTGCTTCCTACAGAAACCAAACGCACAGAGGAAAAAGTCTCCCTGTTGCCAACTGCCTTTTGGCAAACCAGCTTTTCCTGTCCTCTGTCCCCCGGGGGCCCGATGCAGACAGCACACAGGTGAAGCTGAGTTCAGGTGCCCTCTGAGAATGGGTTCTAGGTGGGGCGGATCAGAAACAGCCCAGAGGCAACTAAGGTGGGGGCCAGTCTGGTTTTTGTGGTTACAGCCTCTTCCTATGAGAGCTGATAACTGCCCAGGGAAATGACACCATTAGGACATAGTGTGAACTCATCACAGAAGGCCCTGGAAGGAAGGGTGATCCACCATTCTGGTTTGCCCAGGACAGCCTGCTTTTGGTACTGAAAATCCCACGTCCCAGGGAACCCCTCTCTTGGACATTTCCAAACAGTGGTCACCATACATCACACTCCCCTCTCAGTGGGATTCGGGGCCAGCATCTGACAGGGGGTCCTGGACCAGGATTAGGAAGCCAGGATGACACCTGTCTCTCACTCCCCAGTGGTCTATTTTCTTCCACAAAAATCTTCTCTGGGCAAAGGGATATCCCATGGGGTGAACGGGAGTGTGGAGACTGTGAGGTGTGTCAACTCTCCCTTTGAGAGACGGAGAACATGGCCTGCTGTCCCTGAACTGGTCCATTCCGTGGAGTGTGCTGTCCTGCCCCCCGCTGCTGTCTAGTTTGGGGTTTGTAAAAATTGATCCTCTCTGGTCCCTCAGAGAAATTCCTTTGTGCTGTTTCAGAACAAAGGTGAGCAAAGGACAGCTCCCTAGGCTCCAGGATGACTTTGATTTAGCGGGAATGCTCTAGAATCATCTAGCAAAGTACACAGAGGGAATGGGGTGTGGTCAGAAAAAGGATTGGTGTCTTCTTAGAATCACCTGGGGAGATTTACTCAAACCACTCAGGCCTAGCTGGGGGATCCTAGCCAGGGGTGGGGGTGTTTACTGTCTGAATCTCCTAAGAGATCTTGAGAAATGATTCAAGTCCGAGAAAGAAATTTGGTCCCCACATTAGCCTACATGAACTTCATTTCCTGCAGCAAGCCCCTATCGAGCATAGATAAAATGATGCCAGTCTTATTTTCCACAGAGCCTGGAGGGACAACACTTCTTCCTGCACTTTGCCAATGGGCGAATTTGCAAGATGGTTGCCCCATTGTGCAGATGGTAACACGGATGCTTGAGAGCCTGTAGGACTGGAGATGTTAATCACCAGCGGTGTGTCCTAGTAAGGTGCCCATTCAAGCTCTCAGGGAACTATAAAGAATTCAGAAGCTTTGGGCTCACACCTGAGAAATCCTGACTCTGAGAGTGGCTCAGTGTCTGCATGCTTCTAAAGCTCAGCAGGTGGCTCTAACGTGCGCCGGGATTTGGGAGACTGGCAAAGCCAGGGGGTAGCTAGAATGCTCGGCAGGGCACGAGGCTTTTCTTCCACTAGTCTTTTCTTATTAATGACCTGGATCTATTGCCATCGTGCAGGGGAGACACCCCTTGCTTAATAATTTGTATCTCTTGATGGGAAAAGAGGCATTATATTTATTTACTGCCCTTTACCAAGAATTATACAACTTGACAAACTGGTACAGCATGGAAATTGCTAAAACCTCTGCAATTACTTACCCCAAAGTGTTTAAAAGTAAGGACAGTCTCCCAGAAAGTCCATAAATAAACACCTCTGTGAGTGAATTGATTTATAACTAATTACAAGAAATTACTATCAATTATTAAACATCATTCCAAATCACTTACAGCATCTTTTATTAATAATAATTTTGGTGATTAATTGAAGGAAGTTGAAGGGAATTCTTTCTTCCCCCTGGGTGAAGGCACATTGTTTCTGCTAGAGTGGGTGTGTGTTTGCAGGCCCTCATGGCCTGGTCTTCTCTGAAAGTGTGTGTGTGTGTGTGTATGTGTGTGTATGAAGTGTCCATTTGTCTACCCAGAGGCAGAGGAAGAGCCAGGGGGATGCAGGTGGGCGTGTGCTGGTGGGAAGATTTCTCTCACAGATGGTGTGGCAGGGTGCTCCCCCCACCAAATATATGTCTACTTCCTAAGCCTCATAACCTGTCATGTGGCTTAATTTGGAAATAGCACCTTTGCAGATGTAATGAAATTAAGGCTCTTGAGTTGGTCCTGGATTATCCGGTGGGCCCTAGAGCCAATGAAAAGTGTCTTTACAAGAAGTGGGAGAGGGAAATACTCAGACACAGAGAAGAGATGGGGACAGGGATTGGAGCGATGAGGCCACAGGGCTGAGGAGGGGCTGGAGGAACAACCCCCCCCCCCCGACCCCCGGCCCTGCAGAGGGAGCAACTGGAACTTGGGCCCCAGAGCTGGGAGAGAATACGTTTCTGTTGTCCTAAGCCACCAAGTGGGTGGGAATTGGTTAAGAGCAACGCAACCCTGGGAGATTATTGCATGTGTTCTCACTGACCGATCCAAGGGTGCTGCTGATCCAAGGGTGAGTGACGTAGGCCTGCAACTGTCTACTCAGGGGGCCTCAGAAGGCACACTGGTGAGGATGGCAGCATGGTGGTGCCAGGAGTCAGTTCCTTCAGATGGCTTCTCAGCTGCTGGGTCCTGGGTCTCATGCCTCTCTAGCCCCCACCCCCCACGCCCCCTCATGTCCCCAAACGAAGCCTTGAGAACTGGGGGGTGGGGGCATTTCCATTTTGACAGTGAGCCTACCCTACAGGGGTAGCTCCCTGCTCCATGCGGTGACACTTTCGGTAGGTCTGGGCCCCCTGTTCTCCCTCCCCATGGTGGAAGGCCAGGGAAGGTTGGCCGCCATTGTCAAGGCTTTCTCCATCTGATCCAGGCTACCTCGCCAACCTCTCCATCCACATGCCTTACCTCCTACTTTGTGCTCCAGCAGCACGGAGAACAAACAGCAGACATCAGGCTGTGCGCAAGCGGGACGAAGCTCGGCGTGCCTGGCAAACTCCTAATTACCTTTCAAATCCCACTGCTCCTTTCCTGACTATCCTGCTTCGTCCCCTCACAAAATGAAGTGTTCTCTCCTCAGTGTGATCTCTGTATTTCCACCTATTTATGAGATGCAGTACATCTCATAATGTGTGCATCACGTGGCACTGTCCTGTCTTACATCTGCGTCTCCCTGCTAGCATGTCTGTTTCATGTTAGCACCCCGGGCCCCCAGCACAATGCCAGGGTTCTACTGACCAAGCTTTGCTGGCTCAGTCATGGCTATATCAACGTCAAGTACTCAAGATGCTGATGCTGTAATTCCTTCTTTACAGCTCTCCATCCCTGCCACCCCGCAGTGACTGCAGAGCTCTGAGACATCACCCTCGAAGCTCAGGACAAGAGCTGCTCTCTGGCTAAGCACACCTCTCCTCTTCGTACCAGCTCCTGGGTCACCCACAATTGGCGGCACAGATGCCAGGCTGGTGCAAGCAGGGGATGTCTCCCGCCCGAGAAGGACTCTTGCTTTGGATCCCCTGGAAGAAGCCACCTGTGGTCTCCACCTCCCAGGTTCCTGCTGCTGCTGACCCGAGAGCCTCACTCCTTCCAGAACCCAGGACCTCGGCAGGGTGCTCCTGCCCACCTCCCCAGCCCCAGTCACTGCACACGTGTGTTGGGCCGCTGGGCTTGTCTCAGGTTTTTATTTCCATTTGATCGCTTACAGATGAAACCTGCCTCAGTGGGAGGTAAACATTTTATTTCTATCCTGACTTCTTTAGGTGATGGAGAGCGGCAATTTGCCCGCTTGTGCTGAAGAAGGCCGAGGCTGTCTCTTGTCCTATAGGTGATTACCACTACCTGATCCTCAGAGAGAGCGTCTGGTTGTGTCTCCATTTGGCCGAGGCCGGCTGGATGTTGTGCTTAATGCTTTCATTACTTCTGTCAACAACAGCTGGTGACGAGGAGCCATTTATTACAACTTCAGCTCTGGAAGGGAAAAAAACGAGAAAGAGGGTAGACATGATCTGTTAGCACGCCAATGACAAGTCTAATAGTTTTGTTTTTGCACGGGCTTGGATGTAAACTTCGGGAGAGCAAAATTGCAGTTATTACCCGAGAAGGGAAGGAAGTCTATCCTCTAGAATGCACAAATTCTCTCCCTCAGGCATACACTACATCCAGTTTGGAGACGGGGAAGGGGGTGGTAGAACTTTCTTTCGCCCCACCCCCCACCCTAACGTCTCCTCCCAGTGAAATCTAGCTGTCACCGTTGGAATAGTAATACGTCTTCAAGTTACTTTTGCAAAACTCTGCAGTTGCATTAGCAGCTGGGTGTCATCAGATGGTCTACAAGCTTAATAAAGAAAAAACAAAAGCTCATACCAGGGGAAAGTGAAGCAGCCTGCAGCTTCCCCCTCCTCCCCCTTACCCTGTCAGTGCCCCGTTTGTACTCTCAGATGACACCTCACACCTCGTTCCACAGCTCTCGGTGCTCAGTCTCCCTCTCCCACTAGGCTGTAAGCAGGGGAGCTCCCTCATTCATTTCTTCATTCCCCAAAGGTCTAACATAGCAGGTGCTCAATAAATGTTTGTGGAATTTGAATTTGAATTTGAATTTGAATTTCACCCTGGGGGAGCCTGGATGGATGAAGGAGCTGGTTGGCCCTGTATGCCCAGGGCAAATCACAATTCTGGTGGCACACCGTCTCTCCACCTGACTCAGGAACACTGAGCATTCAGGACCCGCTTGAATTCTGAGGTTTGAAATCTATGCTAGTAGGTTTCTAAGAAACTAGGTTACAATTACATCTCTAAAGGCAGCGTAGTAGCTAGCCTGCCTCTGTCAGATGTGCACAGATGCGTGTGGGTCACATCAGGTGTTGCTTTTGTCTGTGCTGAAAGCAGATTCTCCCACTTCGAGTGATAAGTGGATTTGTGATGCCAAACTTTGGAGCTCTAAAGAATTCAAACCAAACATCTATGTCCTCGGCATTTATCTTGAAACAGCCAAGTTAAAAAAGATGCAATTCTTTTAACGAGGTCTACAGCCAATGCTCTATTTTGCTTTTTGTAAGTAGAGAAGAAATACAGCTGGGGGTGGCAAATCGTCTCTGCACATTCTCCCCACACACCTCCATTGCTCAATATTCATGACTCCTCTGGCTGATATCGCTGGTCTTGGATTCAAACATATGCAACTTTTGCAGAGGACTAGAAGAGGAAACAGAAGACCCTTGGAAATTTTGCTGCTTTCATAAAAGGAAGCAGAAGGTGTCATGGAAAGATTTCACAAGCTGTGTGACTGTGGGTAAATCATTTTACCTCTCTGAGATTCAGTTTCCCCATTTATAGAAAGAGGGTGGAGAAAGGAAGATATCCAGCATTAAGGATCTAGAATTCTGTGAGGACCCTGAGGTCTCCTGCACCTCTCACTGCCTACCCTCTTGTGAGGCTCCAGGAGGAGCTGCTTGTGGCTCTAACCCTTTGGCACTGCCTCCTGCCACAGGCAGGAGCGGTGACACTCGGGACCACCCCAAGAACCCGAACTTCACTGTAGCTTACATCAGATGGTGTATGTGATAGAAACACTTGACTTCTTGTGATGGGACATCGTCTTCCTAACAGGGTAGCTGACGCTCTCATCGGTAATAAGTGACCAGAACCTGGCATCTTATGGCTTAAGGTGGATTCGGTCTTAAGGTGAAGCTTCCCAGAAACTGGGGCACATTGGGTGACCCCGGGCCCTCTCAGGCCGGAAAGATCTGCAGAGGTATTTATCCTGGATGCTTGCCCAGGGGATTTTCTTGGAAAACTCCAGAAGGAGTTTCCAGGCTTCTCTGGGACACAGAGTGGTGGAGGTGAGGAAGGGAAATAGATAAACGCTGGCATGACTAGTGGTAAAATTCCATTTCTGTCTCCACTTCCTAGTGAAACCTTGGTGGAGACCCTGCACTGCCAGCCATGGTCTTCCTGGAGTTAAACCTGGCTCTGTGGCTGTCGAGCTGGGGGACTTGGTCAGTCACCTTGCATATCTGGCCTCTGCCTTCTTCTCTGTAACACTAAGGGGATGGATTAGGTGACCCAGGAACCACCTCAGGTCACTGGTTTTTACATGCTCTTGGTTGCACAAACTCAGCTGGACTGGTGGGTTGTTCTAATTCAATGAGGAAACAGGATCAGAGGGGAGAAATAATTTGCCCATGGCCCCAGCTAACAAGCACGGGGACTGAATCCAGGTCTGCTTAGCTCCCAAGACTTTTTCTTCCTGCTTCTCATACTTGATTTTGAGTAAGACTCTTCCACCCTCAAGTTACCATGGGGCACAGCTGTGGCAAGATCAAGGGTCAAGATCTTGTTTCTCCAAAAGGGGACATTTTTTCCACAGTAGAAGAGATAGTGCAATCTTCATTTGTAGCTCCCAGGTGGTTAAGAGGTCATTAGATAGCTAGAAGCAATGACGTCAGGGAGAGAGGGTCACTTTCCTGAATCATGTGGGGTCAGGAATGGACATATTGAATAGGTCTTATGGTCAAGAGACCTAAAAAAAGTCTATGGAAGGGCAAATAATGACCCTACTCCAAATAATTTGGATCTCTCATTCCCAGACTGACCACAATAGGATATTTAGAAAGTAAAACAAGGTCTTCGTTTTCAGTAGTGGCTATTTACATCAAATAATGTGGCATTCTTTCTTCCTTCCAATGTTCCTTAAGCTCAGGCTCATAGACTGTAGGTCATAGCTATGGGGCAGTTGTCATCAGTGGAGAATGGGAACTCAGAGGTATGGTCCAACCACAGCCAGTGGCAAGTGTGGGTCTGTTGGCTTGCAAAGCATTTGCTTGCTTCTGTGTATTGAGCAGCCCCTAGCCAAGGATCATCACAGGAAAAAACACTCTTTCAGAACTTAGATTGTACATTCAACAATCAAGATTAACATTACTGAGTTGACTCCCTAAATATTTTTAAGAGGTCTTTGTGAAGTTCCTGAATGTTTTATTTTCCATCTTAATCTCCTGGATAAGCCATCTACCACAATGAAATCGAGTGAAAGACCCGATTCTCATTAGAGCTCCCACTGCTCAGCAAAAACGCAAGTTATGAATAAGCACATTGGCGGCTCAACTGCTTCTAAGTATGTGGGCTCTTTTCCAGAAAGTAGCCTTACCCATCTGAGTTTTCCATCTCTGCAGCCTCTAGACCTTGGGCCATTTCATGGGCTCTTCTATCGACAGCTCCTCCCCAAAAGTGATTAGGGAAATGCAAAGCCAAAGTGAAACGAAACGGATCTATTTGCTAAGTAAGAAGGGCACTATCCAGCAAAGAGGAGAAGCAGATTAATAGCTGCCTTACAGCAAAAACAAATGAACACAAAATCTAATTTACAAACCTATTAGATTTGCTATGTAAGCTGTTCACAGCTGATCTGATTGTACCTCTGCCTCCAGAATCCCTGCAAGACAAAGGAAATGCATTATTTATAAACCCAGCTCTTCTTCGCAAAGCCCTCTTCAATCACCAGGAGATCCTACAGCCCGCCTGGAGAACTACAGAGGGAGGATGAGATCTCACTCTGGCTTCTCCAGAATGGGCAACATCCTGGCCCAGCCACAGACCCAAGCATTTTACAGGGAAGTAGGCCTCCAGATCCTTCCGGCTTCCCACTTGAACACTGTTTCAATTCGTACCAGGGTTTCCACTTGAGATTTTCATTTGAGTCTTGAGGCAAACTTCTTTGGGATTAATCTCCCCTAGTTAATCCCAGAGGATAGTACACCTCAGCATGACTCAGCATGACATAGCATCTGCTCTAGCATGACTTAGCATGACTTGGCATTTACTCTAGCATGATTCAGAATCTGCCCCTGGTCTTCTCTTGCTCTCACTCACATGTGTTAGGATGTTGTCCATCACATTCCAAACCTGAGACACCAGAAGTTCAACAGAGGCAGCAATGATTGACTCAGTCATTGCCTCCAACCAAATGTGATAATGATTTGCTTTCTGGTGGCAGGAAAAATAATAAGTGGTGTAACTTTTTGGGGCGCGGGAAGCGGGAGATGCTGTTTGGGGTCCTAATAATGGGGTCCTTTGCTTCTTCCTCTGGAATATAGGTTTTTGGAGTAAAAGCCTTCTAGGTCTCTTTCCAGCACCACCATCCATTCAATTCTGGAAAATTCCATTCTGAAGGGGGCCTCTAGGGCCATGAAGTTTCATCCTGCTTTGCTAGCGCACTGGGCCAAGGGAATAGATGAATCCATCCATCCATCCTCAGTACCTAGTCCACTCTGTTCCCTGTGTGTGTTTTCAAAAAAAAGTTGTGAGACTAATTATTTTTATTAAATTAAATACTTTTTTCTACCACTGATTTATAAGGATGTGTGGTTGAGGAGCTCTTTCTTCATACTTTTCTCATTTTTAAAATTTCCATCTAGCCTTTCAGTCAGGGTTTGGAACACTCCAAAGAAACAATTAAATCACTGGCAAAGCTATGTCTTTCAAGGGATCCTGTGATTTAATGAGAACTCTTTGGGGGAAGTGAATGCTTATCTCTACACTGGATATAAGTCTGGATTTTTCTGTCTGTTTTCTTTAGGGTTATCATATCTGTAGTTATAACACTGTGTGTACATTTTGTGTATACATGTGTGTGAAAACATACATGCCTTTTCCTGATGGACTGAAATGTCTTTTCAGCATTATTTGGCAACAGGCAACATTCTCCCACTTCACAGCCAGACAACCCAACAACAGGAAGTATGCTACGTCCTGCCGAGAGCCTCCTCCCTCAGGTTTTTCCTCAGGTCTCAAATTTCCATCCTTCCCCGTCTAGTTCTTGATTGCATGGAGTATCATTGGTTCTTCACATTTTAAATCAATGCCTACTATTTCCTTTTTGTTCCTCCTTGTTTCTCCCTGGGAACAGAGCTCTGTTCTGGCACTTTTAACTCAGGGATCTGGGAATATCGGCCAGCTCTGGCCCTATAACTATTATCTACTCAAATCAAACCCCAAGGGCTTTCCTGTTTGTACCCCTGTTCACATGTCATTGACCTTTCACATCCCCCATCCTGACCCCCCTCCTCAAAATCAGTACTCTTCACGGGGAAGGAAGACCTGCAGGGCTAGATATTAAGTGCAATAATTAATGGTGTGGTAATAGCTGAAGGCTAATGAAAGGTTAATGGAACAAAAAAGATCATCCAGAAAGATTGCATATAAGAATTGATGTATGACTTTAAAAAATCATGATCAATGAGAAATTCAATAAATGGTTAGGAGTAGTTGGTTAACAACCTGGAGGTGAGGTGGAGGGGAATGAGTTGAGTGTTACTCTACACTACACAGCAAAATAAATTTCAAGTGATTTAACTAGTGTTTCCTAAACGCCAGCCATTCTCATACTCCTATCACCAGTTTGCCATTTTCTGTTTATCACTCACACCATTACCTACTTAAGTTTTAAAACTGACTCATCTTTAAAAACTCCTGATCCTAAGCAATGCCATCTGTGAAAATACAGGTTGATATTGTGATTATATACGCATTTGAAAAGAACACAAAGTCATGAACACAAAAATATTTATCATTGGAATTCCTAAAGTCTTATTATCCCCAAGAATACTTCTAGCACCCTCTGGAAAAGACTGAATTGAAGAGGTACCAATTTAAGGAAGGGATCCCATAAGAAATTGGTGAGAAAATGGAAGAGAATATTTATCAAATCTTTGATGAGGTATGAAGAGTGTGTGTGAAGGACTTTTTTAAAATTAAGAAGGGTAAGAAGAATCATAACAGAAAATATAAGACAGATTTGACTTTATAAAAATTTAAAACTCGGGGCGCCTGGGTGGCTCAGTCGTTAAGCGTCTGCCTTCGGCTCAGGTCATGATCCCAGGGTCCTGGGATCAAGCCCCGCATCGGGCTCCCTGCTCCGCGGGAAGCCTGCTTCTCCCTCTCCCACTCCCTCTGCTTGTGTTCCCTCTCTAGCTGTCTCTCTCTCTGTCAAATAAATAAATTAAAAAAAAAAATTAAAAAAAAAATTTTTAAACTCTGCTTATACAAAAAAGCAATCCTCAACAAATCCTGGGCACAGTGGCTTTCATGAAATTGAAGCAGGCATCAGAAGAGAGAGCAGCCCTCTGGTTTAAGGTGACCAGGGGTTTGGAGAGAACTACGTGCCTGACTATAGCTGTCCCAGGTCTTTCTCTTCTGCCTCCAGGCCAGGTCCTGGGTGCACCAAGACCTACTGACGTGGGCACCACAAATCCAGGTCCTTTTTCATACCAATACTTCCTCTACCTCAGGACTACCCAGCTTCAGCACTGTTGACATTTGGGTGGGATATTTCTTTGTTGGTGGGGTTGGGGGTAGGGTGTTGAGCAGCATCTTGGCCTCTATCACTTTATGCCAGTAGGAGCCCTTCCTCACCCCCCAAGTTATGACAACCAAAAATATGTCTAGACATCACCAAATGTCCCCTGGGGCAGGGGGCCAAATTGTCTCCATTCAGAATCTCTGCTCTAGCTCTTGTTTCTGCCCAGTGTCCCTGGGAAAATGGATCTCCTACCAGCCAGCCCATCCGTGTCACCTTCCCGAGCTGAACCCTGAGCCAACATCTGTGCCTCCCTTCCAGACCATCCCATTTTCATTTCTCTGCCATCTTTTCCTTCTCCTCCCAGAGCATTCAATTGTCTTACAGCATTTGTCACCTTCATGGTGTATTTAATTATTTCAACTATTTTATGAACTCACGAATTGGGGGGAGCTTTAAAGAAATCTCATGTGCATAGTCCAAACTCCTCTTCTTAGAGTTGAAACCAGGGCCTGGAGATTTGGTCCTGGTTGCAGTTTCCTCAGCTGCTCACTACACTAGAATGTCAGCCCCTGGAGGGTATGCATTAACCAGGTCTTTTATTTTCTGTATTCTTTTTTATTATTATTCTTATGTTAATCACCATAAATTACAACTAGTTTTTGATATAGTGTTCCATGATTCATTGTTTGTGCATAACATCCAGTGCTCTATGCAGAATGTGCCCTCTTTAATACCCATCACCAGGCTAACCCATCCCCCCACCCCCCTCCCCTCTAGAACCCTCAGTTTGTTTTTCAGAGTCCATCGTCTCTCATGGTTCGTCTACCTCTCCGATTTCCCCCCTTCATTCTTCCCCTCCTGCTATCTTCTTCTTCTTCTTTTTTTAACATAATGTATTATTTGTTTCATAGGTACAGGTCTGTGATTCAACAGTCTTGCGCAATTCACAGCACTCACCATAGCATATACCCTCCCCAGTGTCTATCATCCAGCCACCCCATCCCTCCCACCCCCACCACTCCAGCAACCCTCAGTTTGTTTCCTGAGATTAAGAATTCCTCATATCAGTGGGGTCATATGATACATGTCTTTCTCTGATTGACTTATTTCACTCAGCATAACACCCTCCAGTTCCATCTACGTCGTTGCAAATGGCAAGATTTCATTCCTTTTGATGGCTGCATAATATTCCATTGAATATATATATACCACATTTCTTTATCCAGATGAATGGATATTTTCTGTATTCTGAAGCCTTGTGGACTCTGGAGGGACTGCCCCTCCTAGGATTAGCCAACTCCTAGAGAGAGTAAACAACTCACTTGGGAGTGCACCTTTCAAAGGCAAACCAACCAACCCCTGCCACCTCCCTTACTGGGGTCTCACACTCTGGGCTACTATCCCCCTGCCCTAATCACCCCAGAGCCAGGTATTAGACAGCTAGGGGCAGACCCTATGTCCTACAGCCTGCTGGATTTATTCAAACTAGCCAACCTCAGCCTGCTTGCCCTGCCTGTGAGAACAATAATAAAGGCTCTTGCCCACAGTTTTCCCCATCTCTCTGCCTCCTGAGTGACCTGGGATTTGGGAGTATAATGAACTATCTTTTTTTTTTTTTATTCTTATGTTAATCCCCATACATTACATCATTAGTTCTAGATGAAGTGTTCCATGATTCATTGTTTGTGCATAACACCCAGTGCTCCATGCAGAATGTGCCCTCCTCAATACCCACCACCAGGCTAACCCATCCTCCCACCCCCCTCCTCTTTAGAACCCTCAGTTTGTTTTTCAGAGTCCATCGTCTCTCATGGTTCGTCCACCCCTCCGATTTCCCCCGCTTCATTCTTCCCCTCCCGCTACCTTCTTCTTCTTCTTTTTTTTTTTCTTAACATATATTGCATTATTTGTTTCAGAGGTACAGATCTGAGATTCAACAGTCTTGCACAATTCACAGCGCTTACCAGAGTACATACCCTCCCCAGTTAATGAACTATCTTTTTAATGGCAATCATCCCCTGATCTGTTAGCCTGACCATACCTACATAATAATAAGACTTATATTAAAACAGGGGGGGACCCTGTCTTGTTCACCTTCACAGCCTTCCCCAACTATGGCTTAGTGAATCAAATCT